CCGATCTTCGCGTGTGCAGGGCTTCACCCCCGCCCTTGAGCTTGTCCGGTGATGAAGAAGGATCGAGTGCCACGGCGGCTTCCGGTGGGCTCCAGAACCACTGCAAGCAGTCTGGTGGCTCCGGTGCCGTGATGCTCTGCCTGGAGATCGCTTTCTGTCGTATGTCTCGTGGTGCTGCATGGATCTGGGATGCGTTCTTCGTGCGCCTGGCGGGGCGATGCAGCCTGTCGGTGCTGCTTCCGTGCCTCCGTATCGGCGTGGTAAAGCAGGGCGCCGAAGTAGCGCTGGTGATCGAATGTTCCAAGGACGAGCAACTCGAGAACGACTGTTGCTGCGGCGGAGCCGATCGCAGCGGTGTTGAAGACTTCGTGGACAGGGCGTTGGGAGTTTTGGGCATCGCACAAGATCTGCGATCAAGTCAGCCCGACAGGAAACGACTCGCCTTCCTCTCATCGTCACGTCTTCTGTATCAGACGACTCTACCTTGACGACACTGCTATCGCGTTGTCGCGGTGGGAGGTGTCGGGGTGGCGGAGGTGATGGAGTGCGGACACCACGGGAGTCAACAAGACTCGCACTTTGCAGACGTGAGAACCATCATGCGAGCGGCGCAACAACAAAAGCCGCACGTAGAGCCTCCATCGTATCGTGTCTCTTAACGGGACGTCACAAGGATGGCGATGCAGGGGCTTCAAGACCACTCTTACAGTTTGTGCGCTGGCCGTGCACCTGCGCTGCGCATGCAAACATGAGGCTGCGTCTACACACCCCAATCAGCGTGATGAGATGGAGTGTCATACTTGCAAAGTGCTCCTCAGACATAGGCACAGAGTGTACTGGTGTCTCGCTGCGGAACAAACTTTAGAGATTTCTGATCGCGACAAGTCGGTGCAGCTCCCTGCATGACACGCTTCCCTTATATTTGCATCAAGCTGCAGCTCAGGTGGACAGCTCAAACTCAAGACGGAGATGCCTTGAGACTTGTTGTGGGCGGAACGCATATCGAATTGCAAGACGTGAAGGCCGCCTAATTAGGGCTTGTCCATGGCCAGCCCTATAAACGACCCAACATAGGACGATGGACGTACAGAAGCAAGACAGGCATGAGATGGTGGAGAAGAAGGAGCTACTCGACGACGGCCTCTCCATTGGTCACGCAAAGTGCCTGGATGGTGACCCTGTCGCCGCCGTGCCTGCCCCACACCCCCGCGATGCCAATCAGACGATCCCGCCAATCTCCTTCACCAAACATACCGAAAGTAAGTTGTTGTCGTTATATATACAAAGAATTTCTGGATATTTCCATCAAAAGGTCCCAGGTGTCGGGTTCCTGGTAGTAGTGGCTACCAGGCGCCTTGCATTGGTTAGAGGATCGGACCACTGTTCATCACTTGAATGAATGGTTGGCTAACATCACCCAGGTTCGATTCTCCGCCGTGTCTTGTTACCATTGAGTAGCATGTAATTCCTGGCTTTTTTTGCCTTTGCTTTTGCACCCACACACCATACATCATCGAATCAGCCCATATCTGGTCAACTGTTCACAGTGCAAGATCAGATGCTTTCACATCTCTTTTTGCATCATCAAGCATGCTCTGTAGGGTATGACTTGGTAGATGTGGCATACAGATGGTCTAGCTGGTGACATGTATGCGCTATCTTTCAGCTTATCATAACGCATACTGGTCTTGAAGCCACTTTTGATGCGCATGCTTGCTTGTCCGCCATTCTAGAGGGAAGCGAAGTTAAAGAAGCTGGCATCTGTTGTAGATGTTACATGGCTGGTCGACAGCGGACTTCCGAGCATCTCCGCATGTGAGACATCATCGCGGGCTCCTTGCAAGAGCCTCAAGTTCCAGACTGGAGTCAGCATCTTAAAGCAACCGGCAGCATGTCGATTTTCTTTCAGATTTTCTGACTGCGCAAACATGATCATATCCATTGGAGGAGCTCGAAGGACCAACCTTGTCTGATTGCAACGTCGCAACGTCGCAACGCTGCACCGCTGCAACTGGACATGATCTAGATATCAAGGCCCCTATTCATCGGTCTTGGTGCGGACTTTGGCGGTTATGAAGATGCCACACGATGTGGGCTTGTCAGGGGTTACCTGAAGGTAGCGCAAGTCTGCTGTTCGCTGAGTGGCACTCATCTCCAGAATCGCGATGAGGTGCATATCGCGGACATGATCTACAACAACGAATGTCCTGCAACAGTTCGCTATTGAACGATGTGAGGAGATGGCCAAAGATGTCAGCAAACTTTCGGCATTTGAGCAGCGGACATACGGGCTGCTGAACAATCTGCGGTTTTGATGCATTGGTGTCGAGCGGCACGCGCATCGAAACGCATCTCACTTTACGCCCCTCGACACGGAAATCCCTTATTTGCCTTCTTTGCATCGTCTCAGATTTCCATGAGGAGGATGTCCGTTGCGCAACGGCGTCTACCAGCGGAATATGTGAGGATCAGTTACTTCAGGGGCTGGCTCGACAAGAAACTCTCATGAAGCTAATCTGATGGGTCACGCATCGCGGGGCGTCTCTTTCAAGTCCGCCATTATCACGGAACAGCGTCACGGAGTACAACTGGCTGTGCTTCAAATCAACGCCCTTCGGCTTTTTGCCTTAGCATACATCATTCCAAAGGTATGTCCTTCATCCGGATCGACTCGAAAGCTCTTCGACGCGTCATCTTCGCTCCCTCGTTGGATCGACTTTCCCGATCTTCAGGGGTGAGAGATTCGCTCACCTTGGAGGACCATATATCGTATCTATCTTGGCCCAGTTAGAGATCAATTCTTAACAGAACTCTGCTGCTGCGATCAGCATTTTATTTAAGTACTTCGATACTCACCCCAATCCCGCCTTACCCTGTCGTCTTCTGCTTGGAGGTAGCCAAGCCTGACTCGCCCGGAATCACGACTCCAACACCTGTGCTTCAGTGGAATGGGTTCACGCTATACACTTTCGATATTAACGGCTTGATGTACCGGATTTGCTTATCAGCCTGTCGCTACGAAGATGTACCGGTTCAAGAGAAGGCAGAACTCATCACGTATGAAGACGTCGAAGCTTACGACTGCGGACATGGGCTCAGGCATTATCGGAGTCACGCTCAAGAGTCAAAGACTATCAACAACGATATCACATACTTCCAACGAGTAATGCGCGGCATCACGGACTCGAGGCGACGTAAGCAACAACGAGATGCGGCTGCGTGGGGCCAACTTCACCCATAACTCGTCTCAACTTGTTCTGGGTACCACCACAAACGCGCATTGAATACAATCACAACTGCTGAGGGTACTTGCGCTACATGATAGCAGTTGCGTCTTTTGATCCCGATGCGCAATGCTGAACGAATGCATGCCGTGGGTGCAGGCGTGGGTGCAGACGTGGATGTGCGGACATCCGCTGCCACACATGAGCGACGTCAGACCGGACCGGCATGCAGCGCAAACACCACGAGTTAAAAGAGTCTTCAATGCTTCGGGAGATATGCGCCATCGAGGCTACCCTGATCCTACCAGGCTCGACGTACATGTCATGGCTGGTTGTCTACATGGCCTGAGATGTCACACACGCTCCGGAACGTGCAACTCAGGCTACAGGAGCGAGCTCAACGCGACGAGCGGCAGCTCACGCCTAAGCGGAGCTTCGTCCTACTGGCAGACCCCTGCCACCTCGCCGCCGTGGGCGATGTGAAGCAGTCTCTGCACTCGCCGCCGCCGCCCCGCCCCGCGTAATCCCCGCACAAGCACGCGCCCCTTCGCGCCTCGAAAATCAACAAAGGCCACCATAGCAACCTCGAAGTCCTTTGGCTATATAATTGCTCTAATCTCGCCAATATCTCGTACGGCGTTGGGATGGTGACCCAACGTCGTACCCTGGCCGATGAGGCCTTGACAGAAAACAGTTACTAACTTGTGTATCACCAGGTTCGAAAATAGGTGGTGGAGTTCCCGCGGTTGAAAGTCCGTAATTTTTGCTCTTTTTTGTTATCTTTTTTACCGCCAAAGCTTACGCTGAGCGTAGTGCGACTAGAGGCTGGTGCAGCCTTGTCATTTCTCTAGTTACTATTCCACTGCTAAGGTAAGATGTGATATCCTATCTAGAGGCAGGTGCAACCTTTTGTGCTTGTGTAGAGCTCCTCTTGTATACTTTCCTCGAGAGGCGAGGCGGGTTGGTTCAGCACGCCCGCTCTTCCGAGTCTTCGCTTCTGCAGCAGCAACAGCAACAGCAGCAGCAGCAGCAGCAACTTGGTTTGCGAAGGACGTCTACTTAGACTTTGCCCTTTTGCGTCTAGAGATGAGACTTAGGAGAAACGCAGCTTCAAGGTAAGCAAGCTGCTTTGACAGCAAGTCTGCGCTTGTCGGCGTGGACATGACATGCCAGCTGAAGGACTCGAGCGCGGATGGCTTAGGCCAGGACGCGACAGCGGGTTAATCTTTTCCAAGCGCAGCATTGGCATAATTGCTATATGCTCGCACTCGAGAAGTACTACTGCAATCCTATGGCCACGATCTATGGAGTATCACGCGAGATGACAGCGATACGCACTGCCTGATCGACTTCAGAAGCGCCAAACCACACCTTGTCGCTGTAATAATCGCCTTGAGGGCCTCGAGGATACCTTACAGCATGCACAGCACAAAAATATAGACATCACGTAGGCCTCACGATCCAGCATGCTGCTGACATTCCTCAAACTTCTATGGTGTGGATACTGCTGCATCGCTGCAAAGGCAGGTATGGGTTTCCTTTCTATTCATGTATCTTTCCTGCCTCATCTATCATGTCCGAGACAGTCCTGCGCCGCGACGCCGTTGTCTAGGTACTAAGAGCTATCCATTACGTCGTGTATCACCCCGTCTATGCCCAGGTCTAGTATGGGGCGAGCTATCGGGCGCGAGGGTACTGCCAATGGTGCCAGTATGGGCTGTCGCGTCAATCCCCCTTGAGTCTTCCGCCCCTACGTCAAGCCAAGGCCAATGGGAGCTACAGCTCGTTTGCGAACAACGATGATCCGGCCATGCGAGTGTCCATGTAGTTTTGGACACTTGTACCGGAGTCCACCTCAGGGTCGAGGAGTACGAAGCGCTCGCCCCGATTTGAGGTGTTGCCGTTGTAGAGGTAGTCGACCCGCGTTGGCGCCATGCGGAGCTTGCGTTGAATTAGCTTGCGGAGGCGGGTCAAACATAGGAGCACGTTGATCTCGAGTTCGAGAATCTCGTCGCGGTCCGCGGCCCTCTTGTCGAAAACTTCCTGTTGCAGAGGATTGGTTAGCCACGATTTCCTAGGCTGGGCGGCTGTGCCTTCGAATCACGACTTACTTGAAGATTCAAGGCAGTCCGAGCATGAAGCCTCTGTCTTCGCTGATCTCCCCAGGCCTGGTAGTGGGCGGCGCGCTCTCCCCAGTATTTGGCCTTGCTGTCGAGAGCTGCGACCTCGCGCTGTATACCTTCGCAGATGACCATCTTCGCCACCTCATCTCTGCGTGTATCGGCCAAGTACATCCTTGTCGCCTCCTCCGACCTCTTCATCTCTAGCGCGGGCATGCCTAGCTCGTATGTACGAGTATCGGCTTCGTCTCCGGTCGCGGGGTGCTTGTGGAGGAAGTGGCTGTATGGCAGCAGAAGGTGTCAGTCGCGGGTCGAAAAACACGCTTTCGCTCGCGCAAAAAAACTTACTATGGGGTTCGGAGAGATATCCTCAACAAGATACCAAAGTCTTGGTCAAATCGGAACGTGGTGGTGCGGGTGTGTGGCGGGGTAGCGAGAGGGAGTTGCGTCTTGATAGAGGCTTCGTCAATACGACCCGACGCTATGACATTTCGACTGTACTCGTCAAACTCTTACACACCCGCTACAGAGGTATTTTGCATCTGCGACGGGTCGCACGACGAGGAGAAGATGCAAATGGCGTGCGAAAGTCTCTTTCCAATTTGTAGGTCATTACACCCTGCACAGCTACCGTTGGACTTCAGACGGCTGTTCACCTCCGGACGAGGCGCAAATGAACCCCTGTATTGATCACGCATCTCTTGTGACTGAACCTACAGCTATGCGCTTGAAGCCGCTTCTGTTTTGGCAACGATAGCCTCACATCACGAAATCATGATTTACGCCCAGCTGTGACTCTTCATCTTCTCAGCAACTCCTCTTCGTTTTCCTCCTTTGTTCGAGCGCCCACATCGCTTTGTTTCCCAGACCGACTACTGCCTCGTTCTTTCTCACGTCTTCTCGCATCGTTGGAGAAAGGCGTCTCGTGGACGAGGAGTACTAAATGCTGGCGAGTATACATGGATATACCGGCCTACTGAGCTTCTGTTACAATGTGAACTCGGTATAATGTAATATTTTCAGGAGCCACGGGCGATAGGAAGGAGGATATAAATGGCCGTTTGACGTCTTGTAGAATTGAAACCCAACAGAACTACCGTCACTGCTTCATAGCGTGCGTAAACATATGAGAGTGATGCTGATTGCAACGAGTCTACCTATTTAGTTCTACACTCTTTTTCTAACACAACAGTCTTGCACCGTAACTCATTTCACATGCACAATGCTCATTACAATCTCGTCCTACAGCTTTGATGCCCATCACTACAAGCACTAAAGCAGCTCACTCCTCCCTCTGGTAGTCACACATCATCTCTGGATGTGGCGTCTATAAATCCGCGACGAGTACAAGCAAGACGAAGCCACAGCGAATCAAAGTTGCTCGGTAGTTTAGCCCAATGGTGTCTACGACCGCCACTCCTCGTCCGCGAAAAGCGAAGACCCGCCCATGTTCTCGTCCATGTAGTGTCGAACGCTAGTCGTCGAATCTAGCTCGTGATTGAGTAGCAGGTACCGATTGCCTATTGAGATGTCAGCGAAAACGGGAAGCTGTTGGGAGCGGTATCTAAGCTGCTAGAGACTGTAGCGCGTTGTTGTTGACTTCCAATATACATTGCTGTAACATGTCGATGGAGATAGAACATACTACTCAAAAGTTAGCGAGGGATCTTGATGGGAGTCTGAGTGCGTGACTGACCCGATTCCAGCATGCTTGCCGCAGTCGACATATCCATCCTCAGTAGCAGGCATACCGAGCTGTTCTTGGAGCTTCTTGCGGGCCGCAGTGATGACGACGAGCTTTTGGATCTGCTTCCCTAGGTCGTAGTGTTTGCCCACCGCATGCGCTGACCATTGTTCCTGCAATGGCTCATTAGCTAATTGCCGATTCGAGATGATGGGCACTAAAAGGGAAGAATGTATCTTGTTTCTCAAAGTACGTACAAGCGAGAGCTGAGCCTCCTGCCTACGGACGCCATTTCGAACTGATTGGAAGAAATCTCGCTCTTGCCGATAGTGGAGGGCCTTGTTGTTGTAGGTCACGGCGTCGCGCTGAAGGTCATCGCAGAGACGCATCTTCGCGTGCTCTTGGCGCTGCTTGTCTTGCCAGAGTTTGCGGAGGCGTTCTTCGGTATTGGTTGAGGACATCGCGGTGATTCTTTGTCGACTTGGCGGTGGAGTAGGTAGTGAGGTCGAGAGACTACAGAATGGTCAGTGATGTAATCGCACGAGATTTGACCTTGGAGGAAGGACCTTGAATGACTTGTGGTTGTTTCAGCGAAGCTCGTGAACGAGAAGTTGAATTCGTTGGAGGGTGGTTTGACTCTTGTCTAGAAGCTGATCGAGGAGCAATGAAAGGTCGGGAGTCTTGTTCAGTCGAGCTCGTCCGATCCTTTCACTGCTCCTAAGCGCTAGAATCTTCGCCATATCGCGAAGGCACCTACTTGTGACACTGAAAGCTGCGGTTGTGTTAGTGAGGTCTTGAGCGGTTGCTTCGCGGTATAAGAGACGCTCCATAACGCGAGCACGACGGAGTAGAAACTCTTGAGCCGATGGTACTGCGTCGAAAACCTTGTGTACTATATGAGTGTTTTGCGCAACAAGTCGACTGAGCGTACTCTACTAAGATGATCTGCAAGTGAAAGGAAGAGACCGAGTCATTCCCCAACCTACCATGTTGTCGCGCCAATAACAGCATGACATGTTGACATGAACAGAGGATTTGATGCAAGATATTTCGAGAAATTGACGTAGAAGAACGCGTGCACATGGCCTGAAGTGTGGACGAACATTGCGGGATGGTGGTCGAGGAGCTTCCTGCGGTGAGTCACCGTAGCTCTGCCAAACGCCGCATGCCTGCCACACCAACAGCGGCAATGCCATGCAATATTGAAGTCTCTCGCATTTCCACTGAGGTTAGAATAAGGATCCAGCTAAACATGGGCAGCAGGGCCGAATGCGCCAGTTGTCATGCGTGCCGATCCGTGGTAACTCTCGGCTCGTCGGGGGGATGGTGCGGGCGACACTAAGCCTGTTTCTCCACTAGCCCTTCTGCCATTGGGTGTCTTCGCACACATGCCACAGCGACCCTCTTTAACCTCTCAACCCTAATTCCTCTGCGCTGCGACCGACCGAAAGCGCCAATTACTAAAGCACCTCTATGAGACCCTTCGTGCCCCGTCGCCGTGATGTTCATCGCACCCGTGCCCTCCTCCATCACCGCCTAGGACTTCCCAACGAACTCGTCCTCGACATTCTGGACAAGGCTCGTTACTGGGTCGAGCACGTCCATGAAAATGACAGGACTCTCGTGATTCTGGACGAAGAGTTCTCCGACAACTTCTCTGCCGCGTCTCCATTAATGAGGATAATCTTTGACAAGCCCGAAACCACGCATCACGAAACGCCCAGACTCAAAGAGATAGAGTTTCTGATTGTCAGTCACGACCAGGGCTGGACAACAGAGGGTAAAACTGGCACATACAACACCTCTTCATGGTTTGAGGTCTCTATCGTGCGCCCGCAGTTTCCGACCAGCGATATGGACGATGAAACCGTCGCTGAAAACTTCGAGGACAACATGTACCCCCAAAGCAACATCCACAGCGTCATAGACAGCATATGCGGTGACCTGGGCTTCAGCAATGTACCACGCTCGCCATCGACTACGGAGCCACAGAGGTTACACTGCGACGAGATGCGGGCTATGACGTTTCTGCATGATGACCCGTCACGCCCGATGGGTATTGAGGGTCAGCACGCTTGGTATCTGCAAGGCAACGAGGTCGCAAGAGCCACGTCTGTCTTTGATGGAGACTTCATTCGGAGATATCGCGTTGTCTGGGGATGTAGAGAAAATCCAACATGGGAGGGCAACGAAGGCTCTGGACGTGGCGAGAACTTCATTGACTCTCTACAAGATGGCGATTGGATATGCGTATGGGCAAGAGCGAAGGTGAGCTGGTTTATTTCAGTGGTATTTGCATTGACTAATCTAAGAATCAGAGAAGAGGATGGGAGAATCACGTCCATGGCATACGTGTCACCACGCGCTACACCGTATAGCCAGTACCAAACACGCTCATAGAGTGTGCTTTGATACATCTTCATCTACGCAACTACCCGCGTACTGTAATCTCCTCAGTAACAGAGGTCATTGTGTTCGGTGCCACATGCATCGAAACGTTTGTCCGCTTGTAGTTTGACGTCTTCCGACATACCCTCATCGGAGGCATCAACCCCATGCGACAACATACCCTCTTGTTCTCCAGAAGCGACAAAATCACCAGTAGCATCATTGATGTCAACTGGTCCTCCGCGGACCTTGGCTCGAGCTTTTGCGATGTGCTCAGCCTTCGCACGATCCCGTTCGTCAGCTGCCGCTTTCAGGTCAGCTTTGAAGGCACGAGCAGCGGCCGCCTTTTTCTCAAGTGCGGCTTGCTTGGCCGCCTCAATCTGGGTCTTCCGTTCCTTGCGGGCTTCGGCTCCACCCTTGGTTGCTTCGACCCGCTTTTCTTCGGCCCGTTTATGCTCGGCGGCGCGCGCGCCCATACGAGAGGATGGTGCAGGTGTCGGCGATGCATCAAAACGGGGTTTTTGGGCAGCAACGTCTGACTTACTCGACGACGATATGCGTGCAGGAGCAATAGACTTTGTGGGCGCACATGGTGTCTTCGCACGATGTTTCTTCGCGACTGGCGTTGTGGGCATCTCTGTTGTGCGCCTGGGTGTTGAAGCCTTTACTGGCCGCTCCTCATGCTCTCGCTCACGAGATTTCAGCTCATCCACGTATTCGTAAGTGACGGTGGCACATCGAGCCTTCATCACAGGATCGACTGCGTTCTCGAGCTCGGCTTCTTCCCATATCTCCACCAGGCTCTTGAGCTCGTCTACACTCAGACGTGCCTCGGCCTCACGACGTTTCTCGCGCAGCACTCGCCAGTATTTGACTTGCTCACGTACCCGAGCGCGCATCGAGTTCTTCTGCTCCTCTATCGTAGGCGCTGTTGTGCAGTCTTCCGGTGTAGAGTGAGGAGAATGGTGAAAGGCAGAGGCTTCGTTGATAACCTCGTTATCCTTCCCTGTAAGCTCAGCGTCGTAGACGGCTTTCTGGCTCTGGTCGTCTAAGATATTAAACGCCTCATGAATTTCATCAAGCACAGCAGCACGCGCGACGCCCGCAGCACCGGCCATCTCCGGGAGCTCATCAGAGTACTTCAGCACCAGGGCTTTGTACGCTGCACTTATGACTTCCGGTGTTGCGTTCGGGGCCAGCCCAAGTGTTGCATAGTGTGTTCGAGTCTTCATATCGGGATTGGTCTCCTAGTATATTCTATTGGTATAGGCGTCCGGTGCCCATGCCGTGTACCTGGAAGTACTGATTTATATCCCTACTCCGCGGAGTGTGTAGACATTGTGTATCGACGACTCACTCTACACAACGTTACGATCACTACTGACACGCCCATTACATGTCTCAGACATACAACAAGACAAGAGTTATTTGGAGAGGAGTAGAGGTTGCGTTCACAAAACAATCGGTCACGATGCATGGACGAGACAGCACAAAGTGGGTTTTGGGAAAATGGACTTTGCCCAGTGCCTCCGGCTCAGCATTGCCGCGAGCTCACTGCAACCCATGGACGCCTCATGCAGATACTGCCCCACCCAAGCGCGGGTCTTCGCGATTACGAACATGCGAGCAAAACACGGGACACTGCGCGCTGGTATTTCGACGCTGTCCGGCGGCGCATTTTAGGTAAAAGCGTGGAGGAGGTTGACAATCGTATGAGAAATATGGCGCAATCCGACGCGATCGCCATTTCCCATGGCTGCCAAAAAGGCAATTGTGGCAGTGGGGTGCGCTGCCCATAAGCGCATGCCGGTGGGCATTTGTGTGATTCTCATAGGGTGGCACACCATCGCGCCTGCAGGGAGCGAACGTCAACCCTCAACCCCCTCAAAAGGCCAGCGCGAAGCTCAACAACATTCCCCCGACCCTGAGGCCGACGATCAGAAAACGAACGACAAAAGGAAAAGACGCGATTGCGCGAGACGCATGTTGCCGATGGAGAGTAATGTCGGAAACTTATCTTCAGCAAGCTTTTGGGCAGCCGACCTTCACCGACGTACATGCGAATGGGAATTCCTCTGGACGTGATCTCTTCGATATCCTCGACGCCGCCAATCTCCATCACAGTCACGAATATGACCCCAGCGGACAACACCTGCATTCACTGCACATACAGTCTCAGGATGTCATCGCGCAGACCCAGCAATTTGCGTATGCATTGCACAGCAGTGGTGTGTCGGCACCAGGTAAGCGCAACCCCTCTATTTATCTCTATCCCATCAGCTTCATGTACATCATCCCCAACGAATTCTTTGTTCCTCCCATTAGGCCCTTTGCCTACGTATGGATGTCATTCCTGTGCCTCTGAGTTGCCAGGCCTGGATGACGTTTGTTCGGGATGGGATGGCGTGCTCTCGCTAGCTGCACGTGATCGAACGCGGCGACGGGACTTGCGACAACTGCATACCTGCCTAGGGAGGTGTGTATGCAAGCTGTGCACAGACGCATGTTGTCGCGTCAATCGTTCGATCGATGAAATACCCAGCGTTCACCGCATCTTCTGGGCTGCTTTTTCGTTCGTCTCAGACAATGGTCACTAACGTCATTCTAAGGCCTACCGTACACCTCCGAGGCGCCTGCAATGCCGACCATGACAGGACACATCCCGCAACACTACGAGCACGACAGTGCGCTTCAGATCGGCTTTGATGATCTCCAGGGATTCTCTCCCGTTACACAAGCCTTCAACATCAACGCTTATCGCACGCCATACCCCGACAGCATCGCAACATCCACATCATCAGCCACATCGCCCGAACGCACCAATGCAAGTCTCCTCACCGATCCGGTTGTTGTCGAAGCAGAAGAGGACAAGCGAAAACGCAATCAAGCTGCTTCCGCACGCTTCCGGCAGAAGAAGAAGCAGCGCGAGCAGCAGCTCATGGAGACGAGTCAAAAGATGCAAGACCGGACCAAGAAGCTCGAAGCCGAAAACGATGGGCTGAAGAAAGAGAACATGTTTTTGAAGAAGCTGCTCGTCGAGAAGGTGGATCACATGAGCGATGAGGATCGGGAGCTGCTCAAGAAAGCCGCCGAAGGCGCGCTAGCTGGAGTAATTGGAAAGAAGTCTTGATTTGTTGCTTTCCAGGAGTATTGGAGTGTTCTCGACGGATGATGTTTTCTCAAGTGGAATGATACACGGTGGATGTAATTGGATGCTCAAGGCGCAATTCATATGCGATGTTATGGAGTTCATATACCAACCCTTTCACATTCTTCGCCCGTTCGATCGCGCTACGATGGCAATATGCGAGTCAATTATAAATTACAGCATGTGCTACCTCGGCGATAGACGCTCCCTATCTGCAGTCACCAACTCCGTCTGCGGTATCTGGTACAACCGCTACCCACGCTCATAAGGTTGGATGAAATCTGGGCAAAAACCTGGAAGATGCCAAAGATCGCGTCATTGCGCATCCATCAATTCTTCAATTGCGCCTTCGATCCCCCCCGTCATGAAAGCATCTCCAAATGCCTGGTATTGGTATGCACGCTCAGCGGGATCTGGCCACGTATTCACCATTGTCAATGCCAGTAGGCAGGTGCTGTAGCTCTGCGTTGAAGTGTTGAGTACCGTTGTCTTGAGCTTCCACCCCAGTGAACACGCATTTGCTATGATCTGGAGGCGATCAGAGAGAACTTGGTTCTGGCGATTCTCCATCATCTTTTGTGCATTCTCGATAAGATAGGGGACTCCATGGTCGCGAACTCTGCCTCTCAAGGTCCCCTTGCCAGGCAAGAGGGGGCGCGACTCGAGTGCTGGAAAACTTTCGTTCCCTTCTGCGCATAAGAAGAGAAGAAACCTCATCTTGTCATGGTGTACAACAATATCCTTTTCAAGTATTGAGACCGAAGTCGCCACGAGATCCTCTGGGGAACCCAATGTATGTCGACGCAATGGCGGCCTAGGCAGAAGATATGCGACATATCCGGCGCAGTATTGTTCGTGGAACGTCCTAGTATGGAATCGGATCATTAGTCTCAGTTCGGAGTATCCTCGAAGAAAGCTCACCAGGATCTACTGAACCATGGGTCCTCAGTCATCTCCATCAGCGTTTCTCCGGCAGTTTTCACTTCGTCGACAGTTCGCCTCAAAGTTTCCTCGGGGGTGAATTTTGACAAACGCACCCAACTAGCTGAGACTTTGGAGAGTATAGCCACGGTAGATACACTGAAGTGGTATATCCGATGCATATCCTGCAAATGTGTCTCCACGTCATTGGGATCGGTCTGATCAATGCACTCCTGATCTATCCAGATTCGCTCGACCTTATAAGTTTTCACATCCGGCACACCACGACAAAGTACGTCAAGCTTTTCAGTTTTCGTAAACTGCACAACACGATGAAATACAATTGGCGGGCACCTGAGGAGTCTAGGATACTTTTTCAAGTCGGCGCCGTCCCAGATACGGTATTCCGGGAGTTCAATTCCGTCGATAGGCTGCGAGTGAGTCCACACGTAAGATACCGTGATGTAATGATAATCGTACAACAAGTCGTTTGTCCAAAGTTCGCGAGTGGGAGTGAGAACGTAATCAAACTCCGTTCCACCTTGAGGGTAAGGCTCTAGAAATCGAAGACGTAGTGGTCCTAATTCGTAGCTTTCGACAAGTGCGATGCGCTCGATGCGTTCCACTGCGGAGAGGAGCGCTTCTTTGTTTCCATGGATTTGCCCGAACGTCAGTGCTCTGTCGTCTTGCATGACTGTGGGTGAAGGTTAAGTGAGAAGGATTGGGTTGTGGAAGCTCGGATGAAATCCATGAGGTGGCCTGCTCAGCCTTCTAGATTTCCGTAGGTGGCGGGCAGTGCCAGCCGTCGTAGCGATTGGACGCCACGGATCCATCACGACCAACCACAACACCCATCACTCTTTTATCAAGAAAGAGGCCACGCCTATCTATAGTGTAAGACGATATTTAGAAGAATAGCTACGTCGCTTTACTTTTCCTTGACTTGGTACTTCATCGGACGAAGACAAGCCCCGCATTTGCCCGCTTCTAACCTATTTCGGCTAGCGGCCACGATTACTCACTAAAGGACTTACGTGAGCTCCTCCTCGCTCTTGCGAAAACCCGAACTGCGATCTGACAAGGCTGAGGGACGGTCATCGCAATCTCATGCCTCCTTTGCTCGGCCATCGCGTCTCAATTATGGGGCTGACCAAGCTCGGTCTGCTCGCTCCTGGCCACCAGCGCGATGTTGTAATGCTCCAATGGAGTGGTATGAGAGTGAGTACGTGGTGTGTTGAGATGGTATATATGCAGCAAAGGTAGGCCATGTACAGAAGTATCATCAACACACTTCCAAACGCACTCAACACTCAATTCGACCATTAGTTGTCTCTCGAATTCCACTCCACAAGCTCCACTCTTCATTGCATCCACATCTATAACTTCGAGCCTTCGAAATGGCAACCACGATGCGTGGATGGCAGTTCAAGTCGGCATCCGGACCCATGGAGAAGAACCTCTCCATCCCTTCCTCAGGCCTTCCGATACCCACCATCAATAAAGACGAAGTGCTCGTCGAGAGCCACGCGACAGCTCTCAACCCCATCGATCACAAGATTCTCGAACTCGGTCTCATAACGCGCATGATCTTTTCTGGGTTGACACCCGGCTTGGATGTATACGGCCGCGTTGCGAAAGTCGGCAGTAACGTCACAAGCTTCCAGGAGGGCGATATCGTATACGGTGGTCTCGTTCCGGGAGGCAAACATGGCGCTCTAGCGGAATACGTTCCCGTGCCGCAAGGTCTATTGGCGAAAGTACCACACGGCCTGAAGGGAGACGATTTGGCGTCCATAGCGAGTACGGGCATGACCGTATACGCGGGACTGAAGCCGTATGCTGAACCCGGCAATAAAGTCTTTATCAACGGTGGCTCGGGAGGAACTGGTGTCGCAGCAATCCAGATCGCCAAAATACTCGGCTATCATGTTACAGTGTCATGTTCAACGGCGAATATCGAGTTAGTCAAGAGCTTGGGAGCGGATACAGTACTGGACTACACCAAGACACCAATCATCGAACAACTGAAAGACACCGGCGCCATGTTCGATCTCATACTAGACAATGTGGGGACACCGGCGAACCTATACCGTGCTTCAAGCGCGTTCCTGCGACCGGAAGGCAAATTTGTTCAGGTTGGCCTTGGCATGAATCTGAGCGCCGCGGTGCAGTTCTTTGGCAACAAATTGACTAGCTTGTTCAGCTGGGGGAAGAGAGAGTACATCTTTGTTGCTGGGAATGCGAGTACCGCTGTGTTCGAGCAGCTCGCGACGTGGATGGAACAAGGGAAACTTCGCGCGGTTATTGACTCTACATGGGAGTTCTCGGAGGTGCCAAAGGCGTATGAGAGGCTGAAGACAGGAAGGGCAAAGGGTAAGGTTGTTGTGCATGTGAAGGACGATTGAGGCAACGGGGGATGTGTCATTCTAGATTTCATTCTAGCGATTCGTACTTTTAGATCTTCTTTCTACCAATAACATTTTCATAATTTCAATAATATTGAGCTCTGTTATCTCTAGTTACTGTGCTGCTGTCATGGCTTCACATCGCTGATGAGTTGCTGGTCCCGACTCCCAGTTGGCATCTGACATCCCGTCTCAGCTACACCAAGCCCACATCTGCATTCTTCGCAACTGTTGAGACACTCGGATGATTTTTCTACCCTTCATTCGACTTCCCCACTTGCCGGTGTAGTGTAGGAGACGGTTTTAATATACCCGACTTGGCAGCTGACCCGTGGGAGCTTGTGTGTAGCACAAGCTTCCTCGCTATGGTGCGCAATGCGAAGAATCCGACGAAAAGTAATGTCAAGATTATCGAATTGATGCAAGTAAGATCTGGATAGATAGCATGCGGGGAGGTGCCTATAGGAAGACGGAGAAGTTCGATCGTATTTCGGTTTGCGGATGCGAGAGGTCGAGAGATGAAGGATATAAAAGTCGCCCAGAGTTGAGCTCCGATTAACTCTCAGCAACAAGATCCAAGTACCCCAGATTTACTTCCGCAATTCACAAACATCCACCACTATGAAGCTCGCCGCGTCTTTCATCGCTCTCCTTCCGTTGGCCGTTATCGCAACGCCAATTACTTCTCCTGACCCTGCCGCAGAGGCCGTCGCAGACCTCCTCCCTCGAGCTACGGTGTGCTACCTCAATTCCGATGCCCTCAAGAATGATCCTCAGGGTTGCGACACCAGCCCTACCAGCGGTGTCCGCCGCCGAGGTGTAACGGGTGGCGACCGCTTCAGCGTGAGTTGCACCAAAAGAGGCAGATGCGTAACAAGTGCGAACTGTGTCTGGGACTATGTTCCGGCTTGGAACTGTTACATCTGGGCTGGCTGGACTCAGCAAAACTGCGAGCGTAAGTGTGATCGTTTTGCTGGAATATGCTGTGTTGAGATGTGCGCATGTACTGACGCGAACAGGTGGGCTGCCAAGCTGCTAGTTCGAGAGGGCGATCTCCAGTGGAAGGATGAAATTGGGTGAAGCTCGTAAGATGCGATGCAACATGGGGATTGAGTGACGTGGAGGAATTGAATTGGGAATGCACGTTCGCTTTGGGTGTGCAAATTGACGATGGGATGAGACTGTGAGAAGAGGCTACGATAGGCATGATCAATACAACTGGCTTCTTTCTCACAGGTCATGTTGATGTGAATCTCGCATTGCTTTGATCCTACGCCCATCTCTTGTGTTTGTTTCAGGCAGATCAGATCCTGTCGGTGATCCAGTGTTTGGGTGTCACGAGCTTGCTACTCTGGCAAATATAGGCTCAACATTAGATGGTCAGATAGCATCTGATGTAAGGCGGCGGAGGACTGATAGCCTTAAACAAAGGCAGTGAAGAGAAGATGCTAATTGCTGGGGTCCGGCAAGATGCGGCATGACGTTCGGCTTGGCAAAGCAAAAAGTTCGGAAGCTTTCCGAAAATCACGAGTGTCAAACTTTCAACATGCGCGCCTTGACGAGAAGCATACAACCTTTCTCCGCTGCTTTCACTCTTACGAAACACGCCAGCCGCATACGGCTATCGAATGCGACTCCCTTGCCGTCATGGACGCGCTCATTCCATGCGTCGGCGAATTTGAGGGTTGTCGACCTCGCGTATCGGCTCCACGATGATTCTGGCAAGGCGAACGGAGATCCGATTGTGATTGTGCATGGCTTGTTTGGGAGCAAGAGGAATAACCAGGGTGTTGGAAAGTAGGGATTTCTTCCCGAGCTGTCATAGCTGGACTGGAACTGACATGATGTCCTAGTGCACTCGCACGCGTACTCAAGCGTCCCGTCTACGCCATCGACACGCGAAACCACGGCGAATCCCCCCACGATAAGGTCCACAACTACACTGCCCTCGCCGAAGACGTAGAAGCCTTCCTCCAGAAGCACGAGCTGAAGAATGCGACACTCATAGGCCACTCGATGGGCGCGAAGACAGTCATGACCATGGCGCTGAGGAACCCAGACTGCTGCGCAAACATCATACCAGTGGACAATGCACCAGTGGATGCGGCGCTATCAAGCGACTTCCCCAAGTACGCAGAAGGCATGCAGCATGTCGAGAGGTCACAGCCCAAGAGCCAAAAGGAGGCAGACAAGCTCATGGAGCCTTACGCAAAGGACCTACCAGTTCGCCAATTTCTATTGACGAACCTGATGAGGGGTGAACCAGGCGCGCCGCTGAAGTTTCGCATACCTGTGGGCATCCTCACCAAGGCACTCGACAACATGGCCGATTTCCCCTTCACCAACCCTGAGGAGGCCTCGTTCAGCAAGAGAGCTCTCTTCATCCGAGGCACGAAGAGCCACTACGTAAGCGACGAGACACTGCCGATCATTGGTCGATTCTTCCCAAGGTTCGAATTGGTGGACGTAGACTGTGGCCATTGGGTCATTAGTGAGAAGCCCGAGGAGTTCATCAAAGGTACGCAGACATGGCCTGTATCAATTCCTGGTCTAACTAATACGTTCCAGCGGTCGTGGATTTCTTACAGGAGAAGGAGTAGATACCCAAACAGGATACAGGCAATACCACGTTATTTATAGACATACCTACGACCAGCGGAACACGATGATCATCTCTGTGGCATGGCAAAGCATCAGACACCGAATTTCACAATATTGAAAGCCGGCTTGGAGAACTGGTTTTATTGTTAATGAGCGACAGGAGAACCAACACCTAATCCACCCCGACTCAACAAATCCGTCTACGAACCTCTCCTCTACCGTACCGAAGACCCTCCCATCATTCGCCGCAATCTACCCCCACTCGATATCCCGACTACAAAGACTTGTACGAACCAACCCGGCCGGAAAAGCATTGCTCCACTCCTGGCTGGACATCCACGTAGTTGGTACCACCACATTCTGTGTTCACGTAGAAGCGAGCTACAATCTCACGTTAGCCTGGTTCTGGTTCCCCCCAATTTCTGTCACATACTGGTTCTGGTGAAATCATTGATATACACCCTGAAACTGCCATATGGCGCCTTGTACGAGTTGTCCGTGCACGTAGAATTCTGGAAGAAAACGTTGTCCTCGAGCCATGGCTCTTCGCAGCCCATGCCGGCGTAGAAGCGGATGATAGCGACACCGTCACCGGGAGCCTGACGCTCGACGACGGTAGAGGGGTTGGGACGAGCGCTGACGCTCGTGGCCGCGAGGGCGGTGACAAGGGCGATGAGGTTGGTGAGCTGCATTTTGGATGTTGCTGGATGCTGTATTGGAAGATGAAAGCTGGATGATGAGAAGACAATGGTACGAAGAGCCTGTCTCTTATACTTCTTCGCTGCCTGTCTCCCTTGGAACATCTGTACTAGCAGTACGTTGATGATGCTCTTGGTGGTAAGACCTAACTCCCCTTCGAGCTTCTCAACAGTCGGTCAACACCGCCACCAACTGATGGTGTTGAGGTCATACGCTTCCAAGCCGCCACACATAACCTGATGGGGTGTCTTGAGAATCCACGAGCCTCAGATGTATGCCTCGCTGCCCGTATCGTGGGTCAGAAGAGGTAGCATTCCACGATGTGATACGAGATCTGATCTTGCATTCGCCTGCATTGTCGCATGTCCGAGGACTGGATTGGTTGGATTGTTCACGTCACCAACGGAGATGCTCCCCGCGACCTGATCTTGGCTCGTGTACATGTGTTGGTGGATGAGGTAGTGGGAAGTCACTTGCGCATCTGACGAAAAGCTGACGGACTACTCTGAATCAACGATCCTTACAGGAAACTTTCGTTCTGATCCTAGCCTCTCCATGCCGCCTCAAACTCCAGAAACCCGCATTAAACCGCGATGATGGGGTAACAAAAGCTCCCTCATCTTCTAAAGGGCCCTCTCTGGCCATCTACTGCATACGCACCGTCAACACTACTTCTACTTCTACGCCACATATAGGTACAGTGTTGATATCAACGCCACCAGTTCCGATGAGCAATTCCCTGCCATGCTCTTGGGCTATGTATAAGCTGACAATCACACAGCAGAGATCATTGGCATAGCGCACTTGCCCGTGCACGTGGCTGCTCACCAAGTCCACAAGTAGCAGGTCAACACAGCTGCTGTCGCCACATCTGCATCGATTACGATTCATCTCGCCGAAAAGCCGTCAACCCCCAAATACTAGCAAAACTTCCTCAAGAGCAGTGCGCGTGTTATTGCGATCAGATTACGACAGAAGTCTTCCGATTAGATGGGCATGAAGAAATTGCTCTGAGGACGCAGGCTGCAGTCGCTTAAGCAACATGCATGCAGACGCGACGGCCCATCGCGCTGACGCGACACGGGGTGTGTCCTTGTCGCGACCTTCCGATCTCAATCTAGGCCACGCTGTGATTTGCCAGGCTTGAGGTTGGCAGGAAGCTCGGTCGCTGGAGGCTTACTAAACTTGTTGCGCATCTTTTGCGATTGGATCGCAGTGTCGGCTCAGGTCTTGGTGCAAGTGCGCTTTCGCACAAGATTGCCAAGTAGACGGACTCTGCGCATGACATGGTACGGAATCGATTATTTGGACAGGGGAAGATGGACATGATGATGCCAATTGATGAGTTGACGCGTCGTACGCCTCATACCAGTTCTCGGTTCTCATCTCTTCCCACATCATTCCCCCACCTTACACTTCCCCATGATCTAGTTCTTCCATCGCTGCCTCCTTCTCCTGAATCCCCACTTGCGATCCTCATCTCCACTCCATCCGGGCCGACACTCGCACCCAAGCTAGTTGTTCTAGAGCCTAGAGAGGGGCTATTGTGGAACTTGGGATTGCGTGCAGCGTGCACGAGGTCCTGCATCTTCTTGCCAGGCATGGCGCCATCGCGCACGTACGATGTTAAGCCAAGGATGACGCAGATGATGGCGAATACGTTGGCGAGGGCATAGGGGAGGAACAACCCGAAGGCTTTGTAGTCGTAGCGATTTACGTCAGTAGTCAGTTGGACAGTTGTGTTGGCCATGTTACTGTATTGATCAGCCTACGATCTGATCGAGAAGCGTTCGATTACTTACGTTAATAGCCGGTTATGCATCATGCTGACCGTCAGATTGAAACTTAGTTCTTCGATGAGAACGTCCAGCGTCCGGTTTCTCGCCATCGCTTTGTCCTGTAGCCTCTGATCACTGAGCTTGAAGGCCGTTGACATGTTCTGCCCTTTGTACAACACCTTCTCTTCGTCAAACTCAAAGTATGCATCCAGATCGGCAGAGCCCAGCAGACTAGTACGCTGTATAGGCGAGTCAATGACACCGTACTGAGCTGCTGCTTGCTTGTCCGAAACAATCGTGTCGTTCAGCCATGCTAGCTTGCCTACCAGTTGGTCGCACATAACCCACATGAATGCTGTATACGCATGTTGAGTCATGTTGGAGATCTCATCAGATCCCTCGTCTGGAAACGAGATCGTTTCACCAACCTCGTATTTGCCGGATACGTTCTGCAGCCCATGATACTGCGAGATCTCCAAACTATAGGAGGCGTTGTGTGGTCGACAAATCTGGTACTGGCGCAATTTGACCCGCTCGCCTTGGTCGTTGATAATAGGCCGCAGAAACGTCATCCAAAGCTCGTTCATCGGTTTCGAAGGTACGTGTTGACGAGGATGCGAAACTGCTGTAAGGCCTCCAGTGCTATTATGAGTTGGCACGAAGCTGAAGTACGCATTATCCGTCTCTATGAGTGTACCACCCACTGTTGCCATTTCCTCTTGCAGGAAAGCGTCGATAGCATGCTCTTCCGTCTCATTGGCCTGGCTGCATCTGATTACCGGAGCATAGAAACCGACGGCGTAAGCGGAATTGTTGAACGGCAGATCCAGCGGTAGTATCTCACCAAGGGATGAAGTAGCAGTAGCCAAGAGATTCATAACGGTCCTTGGTCCAGTAAATATCCGGTTCTTGTCATCAAAGTACTGTGTCGTACCGGGCCGACTGGGCGGTGAGTAGGTATATCGATGCGCTTCGCTGGCGTTTGCGATAGATGGATGCGGCATGGCTGCGATGATATTTTCGACGTTGGTGCCCTCGACTATGAACAGAGTTGCAGGCGTGAAGAAAGGCGGAAGCAACAGGCCCCTTGGAATGCATTAGCAAAAGGTCGTTTGCCAGGGTCTACTACTCACCATGCCAGACAAGCCATTACCGATCCTACCTTCAGCCGCTTCCACATCTCCATGTTAAGCAAAGACAGTACTGATGTATCAGCTCCGAAAGCTGAGTTTAATACCTTGAACGTCATATCTTTCTTCATCAAAGTCCTCCAAAGCCACTGAGTATATGCAGTCCAGACACTGGCGCCGAGGCAGATCTGAGCGAGGAAGGCAAACGCAGTACCAAACCTGGTTCAGTTAGTAATTTTTAGGACGTCTATCTCTACCGGAGTGCATTACCTGATCTTCTCCTCTTGCTGGTCGGCCTTCCCCACTATCTGGCTCTTGAGCATCGGATAAAAGACGCAGTGCGCAACACTCATCGCAAGGCCAAAAAGAAGGAAGAGAACCATGAGTAGTGGAGATTTCCATGTGTGAATGCGACGTCCTTTCCAACCAGGAAACGTTCGAGAGTCTTGACGTTCAGCTATCGGTCTGATTGCTGGAGATGGCGGTACTTTCGGTAGCAGGTGCGCATTGGACCGCGTCGAGCGACTATCATCCATGACCTCTCGCGTTTCGATCAAAGCGGTCTTCATCAACTTTGGGGTATTCATAGCAGCAGTGCCTGAGAGCCTCTGCAGTGAAATGAAATACGCTGGGTTAAGTAGTATCCGAGTCCATGAGAGACGAAGCAGATGTCTGCTTCACTGAGCTGCAAGAAAAGCGTCGCACAGAGATCGAAACAACATAAATAGCAGAAGTGGCACCGAAAGGAACGACCCTCGATTGATTCTTAAGCGGCACGTTGGGGGCCGCTTCATTAGGGTAACATCGGTTCAGGCTGATGTATGTTGAGGAAGTGTTAGCAAGGCTGAGCTACATTCTTGCGAGCGGGTATGGCCCTCAGATTAGGCATATAAAACGCGTGCAAGATTGCGAACTACATGTTCGCTACAGGCTGTGCGCAATACCGGGACGAGTGTTACGAGGGCCAAGCCTTATTCTGTGTTGCTTATCAGGGTTAGGTCCTCACGCTGGTATGTATTGAACGCGAGAAGGTAGCATTTCTTTTCTTGGCGGTTTCTTATTACCAGAACCTCATGCATAGCCCTCTGATAATGGTGGACACTGTTTGCTAGGAGGTTGTGACAGTGTGTAGGAGGTGAACGGTGGGGCTAGCTGCGGCAAGGGTTAGCGATTACGCTCAGCCACCACCAAAATACCAAGAGTGAGTAGCCTGGACACTAACTTGGAGCACAAAATATATTGCAAAGAGGCGGAGTATCATGTGATATCAGCTGAGAATTCTGGAGGCCTGGCGGTCGTCCAGTCGTGAAGTTTCTTGAAGCAACGTGAGAGAATGGGAACTGTTGATTAGAAGGAAGGACATCCGAAAAGACGACAATGCCCTGTCTTGACCCCAGAGAGTGTGATAGATACCGATATAACCAGTGTCTTTTCGCAAACGTATCTCGTGTGACAGAGCTTCTCTTGGGGCCGGTGAAGATGGTCTAGCCGGAGCCCAAAAGAGGGGATCCCCATTCATCCCAACAGCGCCGTGCATGCGGATGAGGCATCCGCTCGCATCAGTGCGAAAGTGATGCGAAAGCAATGCGAAAACCTTGCCCGCTTTTGTGGAATTACCAGCGACTCGAATAGACATCGGTTTGGTGCTGATGTGTGCAGGTGGGTCCGCTTCCAGGGCAGGCAGATGTCGGGTAACGTACCCGCAAAGCCATTGGCCAGATCAAGACTGCCGGCCATGCGATAGTAATTCTGTGTACCAAGACTTCTGCAGGTGGACTTTCCCGGAAATGGCGAGGGCATGATCGTACGCCCACCTTATCAAAGGAAAAGGCTAAACGGGTTTGCAGACCACATTAACACGGAAACATGCAAGGTAGGTGGCCTAACGTCGGTGTAGGCTCTAGGATGTTCAAGTTTTTCCTAGTTCGGGAATCGCTGCCTTCCGAATGTTCGTGTCAACTGTCTCATTGCGGCGTCGACCCCCAGTGATGCCCAACGATGCTGCTGCAAGTCGTGTTGTGTGGAATGATACGTATTGTATTTGTTCCCTCCCTTGAGAGATCATCTCTACCGTTAACGTGCTGCGTCAGCTGGTGGAATTTTGCTGTAGACATCCGAGCAAGAGTTTGACAAGCAAACTCCTGTCTACAGGTTTGGCGATGTACCCTGTCATTCCTTTTGCGATGTACGACTCCGCCTGGCCTTTGAGAGCATTTGCTGTCATGGCTACGATCGGAACGTGGAGTCCATTTGCTCTAATCTCTTGGGTAGCGCTGAGCCCGTCTTGAACAGGCATGTTGACGTCCATCAGAATCAGGTCATATTCGTTGATAGAGACCTTGGAGACCGCTTCCTTACCATCCGGTGCCGTGTCCACATTGTTGAACCCCATGCCAGCAAGCATGCGAGTCATGACCTTTCGATTAATGATATTGTCTTCCGCAAGTAGCAAACGTTTGTCAGGAGCGACGATTTTGAGAGTTTCCATCGGGTCGGCCACCACGGGAGATGGGATGCTCAATCCAGCCAGACCCTCTTGTAGAACCTCCAAAGCTTTGAGCTGCTTGCATCTTTTGAGCTTGGCGGTAAACCAGAAAACACTACCTGGACCTTCTGGATTAGGGTGAAAGCCAATGCTTCCACCCATGCGCTCAGCCAGCGACTTGCAGATACTCAAGCCCAATCCTGTACCCTTGTATCTCTTTGTCGTGGAGTTATCGATCTGGGTGAAAGGCGTAAATAGGGTCTGTGATCCACTTGCTGGTACTCCAATGCCTGAGTCTATCACTTCAGTCAGAATCGTGAAGTACTCTTGGTCTTCCTTTTGCAGTCGCGCAACTATTCGTACATAGCCTTGCTCGGTGAACTTTGTCGCATTAGATAGGAGATTCTGTACAACCTGTCGATAACGTAGAGAGTCTCCTTCAGCGGAACTAGGTAGGTTGTCGTCCATATCGATCTCGAGCTTGACTTCGGGTCTCTGGCACGTCTGATGTGCCCTAAAGACAGATTGAATGATATCCTTCACGCTTATAATGTCGTTACTGATAGAAAAGCTACCCGAAGCGAGCTTGCTAAAATCGAGAAAGTCGTCAATTAGCTGAAGAAGCACGTCTCCGGACTCTTTGATGATATTCGCCAGCTCTTGCTGGTTGTTGTCCAGCTTGGTGTCCAGTAGTAGCGTCAAAGCGGACAACATGCCGTGCATAGGCGTGCGGATCTCGTGGCTCATGTTGGCTAAGAACTCCGATTTGAGTTTCGATGCTTCCTCATAGGCGGCGATAAGACTTTTCTCGGCTTTCCGTCTTTCCGTCAAATCTCTAGTGATCTTAGAGAAGCCGAGGAGGATGTCGTCCTCTGAATCAAGGTGAACGAAGTCAGTGTATGTCTCATATGTAGTGCGTGAGGAGATACTTACTATACACCGGCGTGATGACAACGTTCGCCCAAAACCTGGATCCATCCTTGCGAAAACGCCAGCCTTCGTCTTCACATCTTCCGTCGCGGAGGGCATCTCGTAATTCCCTAAATGGCTTATCATTCTCGCGGTCTTCTTGCGAATAAAAGGCCGAGAAGTGCTTGCCGATGATCTCGGCTGGAGTGTATCCCTTGAAACCCTGGGCTCCTGCATTCCACGTGGCCACATGCCCTGTCGGGTCAAGCATAAAGATCGCGTAATCCTTGATGGTTGCTACCAGCAATTGGAATGTTTCATTCTGATAAGAGCGTTCCCTGAACTCAAGCTGTCGCTGATGTTCTTCGGTGATGTCGAGGAATTCCATCTGGATGCAGCGCAATATCCCGTGGCGCAGAATTGGGACTGCTCTCAGGTGCCAGGCGATTCCCGTATCTGTTACAGCTCTCGATTGCTGGAGGTTGCCAGTTCGACATGCAGCGCTTACTAGCGCATGGGCTGGAGCAAAAGCAGGAACAGTGGAGGATATGCCGAAAATGTCATCGGCATGTCGGCCTACAAGATCAACGCGATCTCTTGCGTTTGAGGCAGTCACATAACTGATAGATGTCAGCAAATAGCAGGAGTTAGACGATCCTATTCACAGGCTGTACTAACGAATCGGAGACATGGCGCACACAGAGCAACGCGTCTAAGATCACAGTCGGCGCGGGTGTGAACCTGATCAGGTCGTATGCAAGGCTGTTGGGATCGTAATCGTCGTCCGCTCTTGAGGTCGGCGTCGGGAGATCATCAAGCACGAGTTGCGACAGCGATGTTGGCAGCGACCCCATGGGCGCGGACATAACTCCGAGAGGACCGAGCTAGCCTCCACTAGGCTAGCAGTGGACACTTGTGGTGTGTTGAAAAGGAATCGTACGAGTTTTGCATCAGAGTGTTAACAGCCGGGGTAAGACCAAGCTTCTGTGATCACAAATTGATCAGGTTGCTCCTGCCGTGAGATTCCTGTCACTTCCGCGGCAACGGCAGGTAATTCTAGAATGAGCGATGCCGTGACGTCACATTCAGCCCCTCGTTTGAGAGCTACTAATCCGTTTATCACGACTCTGGAAACACTGGCGATACGCAAACAAGGCTTATCTCACGTCGCGGGATGCTACACTGAGGTCTTCGCCTAGGACACACATCCACGCCAGTTTTTCGCATCTAGCAAGCCCCACTTTTCCAAAGTCATTGTACTTCTTACCCTACACTGGATCGTCCCGCCGATGTTCAAACAACAGTCGTTTACACTATTACAAGAGATAACTGATTTGTCTGGCATGAAAATGGTTTAGAAAAGGCTCGTTCGCGCATACTTGTTACAGTGGTGCCTCTGTGGCGTTTAGGACCCTCGGATGCCGGCCTACCAGTCCGGCAGACTGTCCCAAAATATCAAGTACGTCAAAAGAATAACACGACCGAAATGAGCACCAGGTGTTTGGGTGTGTATTTCTTATGAGTGCAACGATCATTGTCCAAGTATGCGAGAGGTTTCCAGGAATACCAAACTGCACACTTGTGGCGAGTACCTTGGCACGATGTGTGCTACAACGTCTCGCAGCTTCACAAGTGGCTTTAGAGGTACTTCCAATACACTAGAAGATTGAAACTTTATGGAGCAGGAACATGTTCCCTAAAAGCTGTTCACGTACAACCTATGAGAACATGGATCGTCTCTCGCCTTGTGATGATCAGCCTGTCCATGATCACGACGACATCTACGCTTTCGCCTATTGACCGCCATCTCAGACTGCCATTAGAGCTGATCAAAAGCGTTACACTGGGGTGGAGCATTCGAGTGACAGGCTCATTGCTGTCATGACCACCAGTTCGACGCCTTCACCGAGCGGGTTCTACAACTATATATACGCAACCAGTCTCCAGTCTTACCTCTACCAATCAGAACCCCCAACAACGGTAGATCCATGAAGAGCGTCTACATCTGAGCTTCCCACAACATCATAATGGACAAGCGCGACCGTTCGCAATCGCCGGCGCAGGCACGTAAGCGACATGCTTCGACAGTCTCGACAACAAACTCCACGAGCTCGCAAGACACAACATCAGAAAAGACTATCGAGAACTCAAAGTCTCTCACTCCACCATCGGGCTTAGATGCAGACTCGTCAGAGTTGTCTTCTGCGGTTTCAGTCTCTTCCTCGCAGCATACTGGCGATGCTAAAACCCAACCCTCACCTGGCCATCATCCAGCAACAAACACGGCACATATTTCTCCTTCAAAGATGAATCCGATGAGCACTCCCCCAGAAGTCTCCACTTATGCCGGTATGGTCACGCTAGGTCCTCCAACCCCAGAAACACTTCGTGAACCATCCCATGATGGTACAGTGGCGCATACACCCAGTATACTACATGCTACCGCCGAATCTTTCCCCATCTTCACAACAGGCGATATCTTCATCAAGACGGAACTGGTCACTCCGCCGAGACAATGGCAACTCCACAGCAGCATTCTTACGCGGTTTTCCTCATGGTTTTCAAGGTCACTTTCCAGCATCATGATGCCCACAATAGGGCCGGCGTGGGCCTCATACACTATTGAAGAAATCGATGGTAAGGTCGTTCTGGTACAACAGCAAACCACCGAAGAAAAGCCCGTCATTTCAAATACCGGAAGTCATCATGATGCCGACGTGGCAATCAAGACCGAGCACGAGGATTCAGACTCAAGCAGTCCCTTCTCTATTACCCCAGACCACACTGCCATCATCGGGATCTACAACGATCTCTTCAGCGCATTCTATAACGTCTCCATAAACATCCCGACTACAAATATCGCCGCCTCTCTCACTCACTCCGAACAACTCACCAAGCTCGCCGGAGACCTGGGCTGCTTGGACAACCTTCCCAACCTAAGATCACAGATCAATGCCACACTTCTACAGCACCGACATGCGCTTCTGCGTGCAATCAAAAACGATCCCGCACGCTGGCTTATACTCTCGCTCTCTCTGCACAACGAATCCATCTACACAGAAGCACTGATACACATGTCTGGCGCCCACCCCAGCTGGCCATGGCCGACGCCGTGCTCCTCTCTTCCAGAAGAAATCGTCCGCCTCATCACGGCTAAGAGCCTCGAGCAAAACAAACGCTGCACAGAAATAGAGCGCGATCTGCTCTTACTCACTATACACGTCGGCCGCGGCGCGAGCAGCCACCCAGTGTCTCTTCTTGTCAACTCTGAATTCGACACTTGGTTCATTGTATCGACATTCCGGTCCATCATTGCTCAAGAGTTCACCAACTTACACGACGATCCCAAGGGGTCTCTCCGGCGCGCCACCATTTATCGGAAGATATGGAAGGGGGAGGGCTACATGCCGTACGAGGATATGCGACGCATGCTCGAACAGGTCATGCCCTCCGCAGTTGCCAGTCTAAGTGAGGATCTAGCGATCTTGAAGAGGGAAGCGAGTGCGTATGTGGAGGATCTTGCAAAGAACGAGTCTTTGCTTGATGTAGAGAGGCAGAAGGTGGGGTGGCTGACTTGTGTAAAGGTGGGGAAGGGGGATATTCCTTGGAGAGCTGGGGAACAAAAAAACTGAACAGGTGCGCTGCTGTCTACATCAGTATCAAACCGAAAGTTTGCAAGATCTCAATGCGATGTAGACTTCTGGGTCATTTACTTGGACTAAGGGTAGGTGTTCCATTCGCTCCTTGGGTGAGGTGGAAGGGTCCTGATTAAAGGGCTAGTGTCAATATTCTGGTTCATGGGAGCGCCCCTGGGCCGTTGAAGATGCAGTCGAAGGTACCGTTATTGCGGAATCGCGGCATGATACGCACGGCACACTTCAGAGCTTGGAGGATGCTCATTGTTCTTACTGCACATCCTATCCATGTGTGTACACTCATGTCCAGAAGCATCCAAGTCACATAGATTCATGTCCATAAAGCGTCAACGGGGGTATCATTTTTAGGCCAATAGAGAAATCATCAACAACACATCATCTGCGCGACGTTCCTCCGAACCCAGTGCTCTCATGCCTGGTGCTGGAGAAACTATCACCAGACGAACTCCTTGAGCTACCCTCTCCGCCGTTGTTCCAGCGACTGCCACTACCGTTTCCAGCGCCCCAGCCGCCCGTCTGGTTGTTCCGGTTGCCTCTGTTGCCAAACTGGCCCGCAGCCCATCCAGCAGCAGCACCACCTGCCGCACCCGACCAGAAGCCAGGCCTCCAGCCTTGTGCCGGTTGTGTCGCGCCGTAGCCAGATTTGGGGTTGCTGGGGTTATTTGGGTAGTATGGTGGAGGCGGGTCATCGTTGTCGTCGTTGTAGCCTCCTCCCCATCCACCGCCGCCGCCGCCACCTCCCCAGCCAGGTCTGTTGCCTCCTGCTGCGCCGCCATCCGGACCTTGTGCGCGGTTCCTCAGCGCAGAGTATATCATCCACAACACAACACCACCGAAGAGCATCCAGAATAGCCCGCCTGCAATCCTCTCGCCCATGGTTTTCGGCCCGTCACGTCGGTCGTCATCGTCGTCGTCGCCCTGCCATCTTCCTCTTCCCTTGCCGTACTTCTCTTGGCCTTTCTCCGTGAGGACAAGACGGTACTCTACTCCGCAGCTTCCTTTCAAGATGTATGGGTCTTCGGGGTAATCGTAGCCTTCGCAGATGACGTCTGTGGAGCCGAGTTTGAATTCTTCGGGGAGCGAGGCGGTGCAGGTCCATTGTATGGAGTCTTCGTCGTAGTCAGAGCCGCTGTTCTTGCAGCGCATTATCTCGGGTTCGTAAAGGCCGCGTGCGGAACCGCCGATGCATTTCAGCTATCATGTGTTAGTAGGCTGCATGGAGGGGTACGTGGAAAGGCGTGGAATGAGCGCGTACCTGAGGGATAGGGTCGACGCGTCGCGCGGAAGTCTGCTGTCCTTTGCGCAGCGTGAGACTTTCGATCTTAGCCAGCTTGACTTTGTCCGAGCGGAGGGCTTCTGCGCCACTCGCTGCCAGCAGCGCAGGGTAGAGGAAGCTGAGGAGATGCATGTTGTCGCAAGGTCGTGGATCAGGAGAGTGTTGGATAGGGATGGTTAAGACAGCTCATGTACCCCCCGCGTGGCAAAAGCATGTGAAAGGACACGGTGGAGATGCCTTGTGCTTTGGGGCTGTGAATCTAGAAGCTGGCGGCGCCAGTGAATGCCGATGACGCACCGCCGAGGCCTTTACAGGGATGCATACACGCTAGGGCTGCTTCTGCACTAGCTCGCTTTACTCACATGCCATCGCGAGCATCACGCGTGGACGAACCTCGAACGAGCCTCCATCACAACAATCATGAAACAGCGAATAACTTATGTGGTGACGAATCCAGAGGATTTCACTCCGGACCAACTTGATGTCGGCGAAGACAAATCTGGTCCATACTTTGCTTTAGACAATGTCTACGCTGCGAAGGAACACCGTATCACACTCGGCCTGAATGAGCTACCTGAAGAAGTATGTACTGCTGCCACTCTCAAGTCCGCCAAAAGATCGAAATCATCCTAACGGCACGTAGATAAGTAAAGTCTTTCAACAATGGCACGAGCTACATCTACGTTGGACATCTCCAAGGCCTTACGCATCTACTCCGCCCTTCACATCACGAGCCTCACCTGGTCTACATGTCTTCTTCACGCCTCTATCAGATACGCCTGACGATGCACTATGCTCTAGCGTCCACTCCCTCATCTCTTCAGACCTGAAGTGCTCGTCAACATCATCCAGCTCCACAAAGATGCCAGTCCTCTCAGAACGCTTCTCAATGTCGGCGACCTCGCAGTATTACAGCTACTTGGACGACATCGACAGAGTTAGGAGTTTCTTCCAGCAGAAGTTCTGCAAAAACGATGGAAATAGCTATTGTTTGGATGCGATTGATGGCTTTGCTCAATCAGATTATTTCGATGTGGACTACGATACTATCTCGAGAAGCGTTGTTCTGACCGCCGAATCATCCAATGCAGGATCCACCAACGAAGGCTGGACTGAGACAATCAGGCTGCCAAGTAAAGAAGCGACTGTAGAGATTGGGGTATTGAGTTTGGAGGGAAATGCCGATCCCGAAGATGTGCAGTTTGGAGGTTTCTTGACAGTGCTAGGGCAAGACGATAAACCGAGTACGTATATTACACCTACTACACTGTCTTTACGTCATCACGACAGTAAGAAACTAACGACACACAGAGCCCACGCGCTTCCAAACCCCAACCCGACACTACCCTCTCCTCCAAGCCTCCAAGAACCCAACCGCCCCACCCAAACTCCACCCCCTAACCTACAGCACCTCCTTCAAACAACCAACCGGCCTCCACCCAACCCTCACCCTAACCTTCCCAGCACACCACCTCACCCCACCCGACCGCTCCTGCAAATTACACACCCACCTAACCCTCCCCTCCTACCTCTTCATCGACAAGTACCAATTCTCCGACGCCCTGTTCCTCGCAGACAAGAACCTAAAGCGCCTCCGCAGTCTAGCCGGCGCCACCGATCTCGAAGCCCCAGACTGGGTTGTGCCAGCTTGGGGCTCCGCAGCACTCTTTGAACTCGCCACACCTAAACCGGAGAAGATTGAATATCCCAAGGTCAGTCTGGGGGATGGGGAGGAGAGCGTGTGGGAGGACTTGCCGACGCATCGTGAGGTGCCGGAGGGGGATTGGAATGTCAGCATACCGTTGCATCTGCGGTATATGCCTGCTCAGGCGGCGTCTCATGCTAGGCTACCTGTCCCTTGGCCTGTTGTGTTCTGGGCTTGCCGTGCGGATTCGGGCGCACAGCATACTACCAATCCGTTTGATCGCTTGCATTTGGGGTATGAGGGCTTGTTTGGACCCAAGACTAGGTTCATGCATGTCGAGCCAAAGGCGTGGAATCAGACAGACTCGGGTGGACTGGTGGAGTGGATCAATGTGCCGGTGCTTGACACGAGGATGGCTGGGTGGGTTGAGGGAGGGACGGTTGGTGTGGTCTTGTTCGCGTTTGTGGGGCTGTGCTGGATGTTATTTAGGAACATTGGGAAGGGGGATGTTGAGGATGAGAAGAAGAAGCAGTAGATAGGTCACTAGTAACATGGGGTATTGGTGGGGGTTGAAAGTATTAGATGTTATTACTTTTCGCTGTCAACTCAGCGATTTCGTTTGGGTATCGTTCAATCAAGTGCTTTGTCCGCCACATGCTTCCACGCTACTTTTCTTCCACATCTCATACCGCTGCTATCCAATCGCGCAATGCAATATCTCACAAACCATGCTTCATATCTCCGTTTCCAAAGTTCAGACTATCGTAATCGGCGCGTTGACAGGCATGCTCGACATGATGGGTAACGGTGTTCCAGGGAAGATAGGATGCAGCGCATAGACAGGTCCTGAACTGTCCTCGCCGTCGAATAGCATAAGGTTCTGGATGGGCTGTTCACGTTGTCCCAGCACGTTGATGACATCTTGGGCCAGCTGACCGCCCAGGAAAGCCGTGACGGGTGCCAGTTCGCTACCCAGGTTCTGAAGGAAGCTGCGGAGGACTTCGGCTTTGAGAGACTCTGCAGGAAGAAGCAGTTCCTTGTGCTTCTGGTTCGCAATGGTGGTGAAGAGCTGAAGATCTGTTGGTGTATGCGAAGGGTAGATGCCGTAGCCCATGCGCTGGTACTCCCACAATGCGCGTACACAGGTGAGTAAGGGATGGACTCTCTTCAGCCTCCTGGCGTTGTTTGCAATATCCGCAGGGAGTGGACTGTCCTTGACCAGCATCAACGGGCTGTAGAGCTCCTGCTTGTTGACCAGCTCGACCACCTTTCCGTTCTCCTTCTTGACCTGGACGCTCTTGATGCTCCTCGTTGTGCTCTCAGCGCCGACCTGCGTGTCGCGATTGCTCTTCTCGCGCTCGATAACGAAGTTGTGCTCGACCAGGTCGGCGAAGATGTAGCCGTACATGCCGTGCGATGCGCCGGCGTAGAAGGGTTTCCGTGCTATGCGCGCACCGGCATTGAGGGCGGAGGTGGAGAGGAAGTCCATGTCGGTGCATATGATGATGTCGTAGGCGGCGTAGAAGTTGGGATCTTGCTCGTTGCGGATGTCGGTGGTGAGGGTCTTGACGGTGACGCGCGGGTTGAGCTTCTGCACCTGGGGCAATGCTGCCTCTGCGCGGTTCTTGCCTACATCGGCGTCGCTGATCAAGAATTGCGCGCCCAGATCATCTTCGGTCACGACTTCGTGGTCTGCGAGGGTGATGGAGCCTATGCCGGCGAGGACAAGGTTCTTGGCGACCTCGTTGGCGAGGGCTTTGATGGAGACGAGCAGGATGTTGGCGGTGCGGATCTTCTCTTGCGCCGCGACGCCCCATAGGCGGATTTGGCGGTCGTAGAGGGCGATTTCATCTGAGCGCGGAAGTTAGCACTGCTGCAACTGCCATTGCGTCGCGCTTACCTGCGGATATCTTGTCGGCCTCAGCGATGGCGGCGACTGTCTCGCCAGCTGCGTCCTCGGCAGGCAATGCAGCAGGCAACGCGCCATTGGTCACCGGCGGAGGTACCGGGGACGGCTCGGTGAGATCAGCCATGGTGTTTGTGTCGCGCGGGTGTGTATCTGAGGGTGAAGATACGCGTATGCGAGACGTGAACTGCGCGATCACTCAGGACAGTCAAGTTGTTGGTGGATCCAACAAGACGCTGGCTGCGTATGGGCTAATTCAAGCTGGACGGGCGTCTTGCAGATGGCCGAGTAAAGGCAGCTAGCGGTGACGGCATTACCTCGCACCCTCGTAGCCTGCCTGTGCGGCTCTGCGGTGGCCCGTGCGCACCCCGCGTGCCAACCACACGGGACCGACTAGACGATGCGTTGCTTGTTCGTCGCCTCAGCCTCGACAAGTGCCGTCTCCTACCCTCCCACCGTAAACTACTAGTCTCTCCTCTGCGTGTGAGCCTAACTACTCGCCATACCTCGTCTCCTCAATGGGAGCGAGCGCCGACGTCACCCATGCCCAGACCACCCTCCTCTCCGTCCCCACCGCCTGCGCCCTTCCCACTGGCCTTCACGACGGGCAGCTTTGACTTTCCCCATGCCTCGACCTCGCCGCCGACCGTCTCTCGCTCTGCCTCTACCAGCGCGTCCAGAAATGCGCTGCGCTCCCTAGCCGAGCCCACGCCCGCCGCTTACGATGCGACGTCATCCCCCAGAGACCCTGCCCGCCGCGTGCGCACTCGCACGTCAACCAGAAGAGGCCCGCTGCACCGCCTATTTGGTCCCCCACGTGACAGCGACGCTGCGGACAATCTGGCCCGAAGGCCGCCCACTGCAAACCCCAACCGACCTCGCGCCGTACCGAGCGAAAGCTACCTCCGCCGCTCTCAGGCCCGCACGAGGGAACAGCGCCTGGCCGACATGGACGCCACCAACGATGTTCTTGACTCACTGAGTGACCTACCGACAAGCAATCCCTTTACTATCTCGAATACACAGCCCCGCTCTCGTAGCCCCATCGTGCAACTCAACAGCGAGCGCCGACATAAGCGGAGGAAGCTGGAACATGACAGTAGCGCTGCTACGGAGTACATGTGCTTCAAGTACGGCCACAGGGGTCAGGTAGTGCCTGGGCGTCTGCGCATGGAGATCATAAGCTGTGACGGCGGTGAGCATCGCAGAGACAACCCACCTGGGCTATACAGGGTTCAGAATGTCTTGAGGAACGACAAAAGTGTATACTGTAGCGAGAGCTCCCAGTGCAATCTTCTCTTGAAACACATCGGAGAAGCCCCTTTCGCCTTGGAGAAGATCGTCATTCGAGCACCGGACCGTGGATTTACGGCTCCGTATGTGTCTCCGCTTCGTCTTTGATCATTGCTAACCTAACACCAGCGTTCAAGAAGGTCTTGTATTCGTATCCATGTCTGCAGATGAACTCCTATCCGGCACCTCAGCCTACAACCTCCGCTACGACACTCCATCGCCACTGATGTCTCCGACACCTAGTTCTCCAAACGAGGCCAACGAACACATGTCGTTGCGAGAGGCTCTTGAAGATCCTTCGGTGTGGCAATACTCAAATCAGGGCCCTCGCGAGGACATGGAGGAGCGCATCGAGAATCTTCGTCTCCGCAGTGAAAGGCTGAATGCCGAATCTGCGAACTGGATATCGTCTTTGCGCTCCGACTCTGAGCGTCGGCGGATAATGCGCCAGATGGTAGAACACGAAGACGAAGCAGAGGGAGACAATTGTGATCACGCAGCGGATGACTCTTACAGCGGTCCCGCTGGCATTTCTGCACCTACCCCACCGCCTTTTACAGTTACTACTGCTGCCAGCGAGGATGAAGACTCGGAATCCAACGAAGAAGTACCCAGTGCTGCCATCATGGCCGACCGCCTTCGAAGAGAAAGCCGTTGGCGTCCAGACAGCGACGACGATGACGATGAAGTCATTCCCCGCCTGGGTCCGCTGCGTCGCGCGCCGGCTCTCGACTACAGCACATACAGCGAATGGCGGGAGCGGAGAGAGCGCTATCTTGAGCCCATCCGAGCGTCTCGTGTAGCTGCGCCCAGCCGCATCGAACCTTCCGAACGAACCCATGACGAGCCACTCATACCCCCACATGCGCGCTTCTTCATTGCGAAGAACAAGAACAAGATCACAATCAAATTTCATCCTGCAATGTAAGTTTGGTCTGGTCACCCTAGGGGGCCATCGGTTTACTAACGCATTCTCCAGTTCGGGAAGACACGTCCTACTTAAGTTCTGGAGCCCGAAACACGATGGCAACATCGACATTGAGAGTGTCCAGTTCTACGGGTACTCCGGACCCCGCTACTTTCCGGCCGTGCAAGCTAGGTAGAGGGTACGTGCTGTTGTAAGGTTTTACATCACATCTGTCCTTTGGAGGATCATGTTGGTATAGGTTAGAAAAAAGACAGGCATGTCTCTCACAGTGTCTGTTTGGAACGTGCCCTAGTAGTAGTGTGTGCAGTCTTTGAGTGGCAATGATACCCGGATATGATACACAAATATGTGACGATTGGTATGGAGCATTGGGGGCTGTGTGGGAGTACTGGTCGTAGATGCAACACATTCTTTCATCATTTGACTGCCACTATTAATGAAAGACTATCAGTTGAGAGACGTGCCTGGGCCTGTGATGAGTGAGCAGATGTAGTTACCCCTACAGACTAAGCAAGAAGGAGCGGCCGGGGATAACCACAGTGCTGATCTGCTATTCCCGTTCGAGATCAGACCACCTGGACGCTGTTGCACTCACCTGAATCTCAAGCAACATCCACAACCACCTACCACGATAGCCACGTCTCAGCAACTTCCTGCAAAGTGAACGACTATCATCACGAGGCATGAGCGCTTACCCGCGCTGTATTGTGCTACAAAATGTCCAAGGATCCAATTCATATCGATGCGCAGGTGAACCTGCTCCCTTTTGGAGGAAATATGCAACGGAGACCGAGTAGTCGCACATAATACACGTAAGCAACGCATATCTACAGCTATTTGATCGGAATCACGCTAATGCGCACAGGTAGAGATAGAATTACAAGTAACCATATGCAAAAGGTATCTTCCGTGGTTGATGGACACACATGAACGCCTCGACGAACCCTGGCAAACCACCGTTATCGACTTACCAACCCACCAACATACACACCCAAAGTCCCTCACAAAAAGGCTTCAAATTCGAGCGCGAGCCCACAAGAACACATTAACGCCTCCGCAGAAACTGTATCGATGGCATCCATGTGCCCGGTTCTGGTCAGCTTCGGCAATTATATTCAGTAAACGTCGTCGCCGACACTTCCTTCCGTCTTCATTTCTACGAAATTACTTAGCCTTCGTTCCCGACCGGTACTCCGACAAGCGGGTTGCTGTCAATCCAAGTTACCTCGACATCATATCGCCTGCACACTCTTCTGGGTTACTGGAACACATTCCAAATGGACGACTGCAAGCTCCTAGAAAGCGCCCACTGTTCGTCGTTTAGCAGCGTTCGACTATCCCGTACGTGGCGAAGGCTGCTGAGATCAGCACAGCAACGGGCTCAGAGCCTCGACTTTCCGTCTTAACGCTATTGAAGGCGGCAACGGCAACAGCGAACCTACACACGGCTCTGACGGCATTGTCTAACCTTGCGCTATGTTTTACCCGCAGTGGCTATTATAGAGCCGCCCTACTGGTTTGCCATGTCGCCGGTCATGCCAGTTAGAACAACGGTATGTTCCTGCCACGCCTCTAGCGTATGCAGCTAATGACGGCCTAGAAACCGTGGTAGCGCGGGTTGCCAAGACGACGTGGTAAAGCTATGCGCACTGGGAACTTCGCCTCCGAGGAAAAGAACGTAATGTTTGCCAGTTTTGGCAGTCAACAGAAGTATAGTATAGCCAAAGCTGCCGATGGTACACTATCTGCTGTTGATGAAACTCATGAACAAAACATGGGCATCATAATCACTGATAGACTGCTCAGTCTTCCGTTCGAGCCGACACGATCCGTTGCCCTCAAGCTTCAAGCAACGGACGATGTATCACGCTTGTTGTACAAGACGCTTTCTCGGCAAGATGCTAGTCGACAGCCTATCACGAGTGGGTTCAGCCATTCTTGGCCTGCGTAGCTTTACCAAGATGATACCAGGCAGATCCTACTTCAGGATGCTCCATGCATTGACAGCCAAACAATTCGATGGCCACTCCGGTCTTTCCGTTGGAGCACTATCAACAAATTCTAATTCTAATGCTAGGTTACGCATTGATGCTTCGATGTCAATGAGATACCAGACTCGATGTTGGGAGGCTCTGCGTTCCTGAACAAGCCATTTGACAGCGAGGTTCAGACACCCAGTTTTCTAAAGCTTGGTACAAGCCATGACATACTGACTTCAAAAGCATAAGTTTTTACATGTTTGCATCATACAGGAGTAACAGCTACCAGAAAGAAGTTCGCCGCCGACTGACGATGTTTGCCGTACAGCCGGACTAACAACGTTTCATGCAGCCTAAGCCTACGTTCTCCAGTTTTTCCTCCGCAAAGTCGGCGCGTTCTGGAGCAAACGACAAGCTTTCCGGATGATCGGCCGTGATCGCTCGGTTGCTCGGGTGGATCCACATTCGCCGTGCCAAGCACCAATGACGTCGGCCTGCGCTGTCTCAATGTCCATCGCGTGGCTCCGCGAAACCTTCATATGCTTCGATCGCTTGGCGGCATCCAGACACACTGTGCCTGGCCTCCAGGTTCGACCAGAACGACATGCAAATGATAAGTGTGATGTCACTTCGCATTCGGCCCTTTCCATCGGGGCGCTATCACAACGTCTAGCAAACAGCAAAGCCAATGCCAGAGGTCGACGGTGCATGCCATCTCATCAAGTGCATGAGCGAACTCGGGTACGACGGCTCTGGTAATACCATGGTACCTGATTCCTCTGCAGAAGCCAGGGCGGAGACTGTCCGATGGGCGATGGAAGCAGGAGCACATTTGGTATAAGAGTCGCCATGCTCGACATGTTGAAAGCCCATCATCACAACAATCAACCTTCTCATCATCTCCACTCGATTCAAAACCACTACACTCACTCTCAACAAGTCGAACTTCGATCAATCAATCAATATGCTCTTCTCAAAGCTCACCATCATCTCCGCCCTTGCGGCCTTCGCTGCTGCCCAGGACACTGACTTCGACTTCGACAACATCCCCGCGGAGTGCACTGATGTCTGCGCACAAGTCGGCTCCATCACCAACGGTTGCAAGAACGACAGCAGTAAGTACAACACTTAACAACGAACAACAAGGATCTAACAAACCTACAGATGACGACTCATCCGCCGTCCTCCAGTGCATCTGCACAGCCAACAACGCAAACCAGTTGATCCCACAGTGCGAGGCCTGCGTCAGGCAGTACAACGGCAACGACAACGACGACGGCAGCGACCAGTACCGTCTCCTCACCGACTGCGCATACCAGACCACCACCGTAGTTGGAGGAGGCGCTGGCGCAGTCCAAACAACAGCCGTCGACACCAACACTGTCACTGACACCAACACCGTCTCTGTCACCTCCGTCATCCAGACCACTTCCGTAGCCGTCATTGTCACCACCGGTAGCGACGGCCTCGTTGCCACCACCACCGAGACAGATACCAACACCAACACTGTCCCTGCCGAGACTAGCAACCCTGCTGCTATGAAGACTGCCGGTGCCGCCATGGGTATTGGTGCTCTTGGACTCGCTCTTGGTATGTTGTAAACCGACATTATGGTTTACGGGTAGATGGATATTTATGTAGTTAATGACTGGAAGAGGAGTTTGGAAGCTCATCATCACCCTTGGAGCTTGGGAAAAGTCCAACAATCGGGCATGTAATGACTGTATATATAATGCAATATGTCTTGCAAACATCATCTATCGCATAAGAAGCCGGACGTGATATTGAATATAACGGTGACATGAGATGACTTTCAGAATGGTTCATCAGGTATGGTTCACATGGGCTTTTCTATCCTGGACTTCGCGGCTACATACACTTATCAGTACCCGGATGTACTATGCATACTCATGCCTGGAGGGTCTCCGCTGGGAACAGATCAGCAAAGACCGATTCGCCAATAGGGTATGGGAATACATCATCTTTTATAACCTTTGATATCATCATGGCAAGTACCTCGTATACGGCAAACATCCACGTGCTGGTACAATTGCCTTCACAAACCTTGGCCGTCGTCAGCAAACCTGGGCTGAACTGTCGCTAACCCCTCCAAACACCACTCGGAGTCAGAAAGACCTACTCCTCTGTGTCCATAAGCATCGACGACCGCATCTTGACGTCTTCAAATCCGCGTCCAGAGTCAGTAAGCCTGGCTTTCTTACCAGCGAGGTGATGAGCTTGAATGAACTCCGGGAGATCAGCCAAAGCCAAGTCGCGGTATTAGGAGAGGTACGGCGCCTTGGGAAGAAGCTCACTGTACGCGATGCGACGTGTCTTGAACCACGTCTCGTTATGAAGGGCGGCGTAGGTACCAAGGACGTTGTTGACGGCAGTATCGTCACAGATAGGGGCCTTGCAATACTTGCCAGTGAATATTTCGACCAAGCTCTCCCTTTTTGCACGCGTTCTGGTTAGAAAAGAACTCAGTGAAAGGACTTTGCTCTCACTCCCTATTTGGTAATTGCCTAGCGCCACACTGGTCGTTTCCCGACCGCAATTGTTTGCTCACTTGTTTTCCTTCACCTTCTTACTCCCATAGAGCTCTTTTTAGTATTGAAACGTCTCTAACCAAGCACGATGTCATCTGGCGCGACCCCGAAGCCTCCAGCTCCGGAATGGATGTCCCTTGAGAACCTCCTGCGGATTGCCACCAAGAACGACCATCTGGAGGTACCGACAGAAGAATCTAAGCGCGCCGAGTACGTCAATTCCGCCCCTCTGAGTACTTTTACTGACCCGACAGACATGCGAACAAAGTCCTGCAGTCCAAGCTTGGTTGCGATATCCTCCTCAAATCACACGGACTCATATTCCCGATACATTCGGCTTGGGCGCTCGGTGGTCCAAATGCGGACTGGATGACGAAGTGTCTTTTCCAGGGCGTACGTATACCTAAAGTCCAATCTCGTCGTAAATCATTCTGCTTACACTAATGGCTTAGACCACAGAGCACCCGGTCGAGATATCTTTCTCGGGGGCCTCTCCAATCGTCGTGGACCGTTTCGTCAACTTCCTCTATCTCCACGAATATCAGCGCCATATCGAGACGGAAGTTTCCAACATCACGCACGCAGAGAACAAGCCTAATTCACCCTATATCGACTTCACCCGCGATATGAAGTCGGTGCGATTCGACCTGGAGATGGTAAGCTTCGCGGAGTTCCTGGAATACCCGGCCTTGATCGACGCCGCGTACGTCAAGTTGGTAGAACAGTTCCTGTTCAAAGGCGACTCTTCGCCAACGGCCATGAAGGACTTTGTAGAGTGGATATATGGCGCTGGCAAGATCTGCGAGGACAAAGTGGGCTCGCTCAAACAACTAATTGTAGCAGCCACCTTCGTGTACGGGCGTAAGTTCTGGGAAAAGGATCAGCGCGACGAGTTTGTCGGCCTTGTTCAACACCAGGAAAGCTTTGTTAGGGATATGGCAGCAGCGACGCTAGCGCTACAGCAGGCAGGAGAGTCTTCTTGAGAAGGAGACATGGCGCTAGAAAGGAGCCAACTAGCCCTCTATCAAGCATTATGCTGATTACAAAGGGATGAAGACGTTCAGAGCCGTCACTTAAAGTGCAGAGGAAGCCCACGTCTGAGGTTCAACAGTCAGGTAGAAGGAGAAGGCAGCTTATTGAAGCGGACAAAGGCGATAAAGTAGCCCAAATGAAAAGTAAAAAGCATACTTAGCAGTTGTGTGTTGGTTAAAGCGTCGTCATGCGTGCTGTGAGTGTCATGTCTCTGGTAAAGAAGTAACATGAGGTAGTAGCTGTGGACGTATGCCATTAGCGCCCCACCACGCTAGCCACCAATCGCGCAAGCATCCATTAGGAACAACATTCCAATACCGAGTATGCAAAAATGGCATCTTGGATTTTGTAATCTTTTCTATGCGTCTAATAGTGGAGCCGGGTATATCAGAAACTCTCAAATCCTCCACTCACGTTATCTTCTCAACCGTCAACGAACCCTCCACACCACCCTCCAACGCAATCAACCCACACGACTCAATCTGCTTCTTCCACTTGGTCGACTCATACCTCGCCGTAATAACCGTCAATCTCAGAACCGGCTCTTCTTCACTAGCGCTCTCGCCAGCTGGTAGCGAAACAGCTGTAAACGTCCAGCGACCGAACGACCAGTTCAGAATATATCTTGCTCGACCCTCCTGTATTTTCTGGTGCGCGTCCGCATCAGCGTCCGATGATTTCGGCGGCGTAGAAGAGTACAAAATGCCTTTTATCCGGTATACCTCGTCTTTGGTGGGGTCTTCGAGGAGTTTGGCGAGTTTAGCGGTGTCGACACTACTGTTTCCATCCTGGCTTTTCAGTGTGACTGTGAGGACCTCGACTTCGCTGGAATGGTCATGGTCGTGTTCATGCGCATGTTTACTTCCGTTCTCCTCCGTGACGCCCGCAAGTCTCGCATCCAGTCCAAACACAATATCCTTATCCACCCACCCTTTCCTGCTCTTTGTCCTAGGTATTTGCGGCTCCACCTCTAGAGCTAGCACTGCGTCCTCAACATCTTCTAACCTCCTTTCGCTAACAAGCTCGTGCTTGTTAAGAACAATGAGATCGGTGTAGCGTGCCTGCATTTTCGCCGTATAGCTCGTATCCTCGTAGCCCTTCCAATTCTCCACGTCAATCACACTCATGACGCCGTCTAGAACGTATTTGCCCGTTTCTCTGCTCAGTCGGTTTACTTCCATGGCGAGAGTTGCGGGGAAGGCAGAGCCGGAGGTCTCGATCACGATGCGGTCGGGGTTCACGTCGTTGGCGAGCGTTTCGAGGGCGTCGGAGAGCTGCCCGACGAGGTTGCAGCATATGCATCCGTTGAGCAGTTCCTGTACGCCTGATATAGCGGCTGAGGAGGCAAGCGCGGTGTCGACTTTGATGTCGCCATATTCGTTCTTGAGAAGCGCGAGTTTGTAGGTTTTGGGTAGTTGGGGGATTAGGTTCAGGATGAGCGCTGCGAGGTTGTTAGCAAGGTTATAACTCTTCTCGATGTGATTTACAAGTTCTTGACGGCTTGTACACACGCAATGCGACGTGCTGGTACTGTGCTACTAGTTCCTGAGAAAGCAGCTGAAAATTACTACGTACTTGTTTTTCCCGAGCCCAAGAAGCCGGTGATAATAGTGATAGGTATCATGGCAATGACGACAACAGCACAGACGCGTTGATCCGAACAAAACCCCTCAAACAAGCAAAACAAATTTCAAGGTCACAGTCGCAAGGTTAGTCGCAAGGTTACCCTCACGTGCAAGACGCGATAGCGGAGCTTGGCCTCGCAAAGGGACTAGTTTCAGGTTCCGCGATGGCGGGGTGTCTGATGACGTCGGCGCGCATTTGGGCGGGGCAGTGCCGACCAAGACCAGCATCGCATCAGGTACGTCGCCCGTAGCCTCCTTGCACGCTGCGACACGCACCTATCAAACGCGCTTAGCTCCAATACCAAGGCTTCTGTCACCAGGGACTAGATCTTGATTGACCCCATTGACCCATCGGTGCTCCCGTTTCCAAGATCAACCATCCCTGCCTTGCAATCAGCTGCTTAAATAGCTCTCTCCTCCAGTACACTCGGCTTATCACTCATCACAACCTCACACGACTACTCTCACCTTTACTGCTTTGACTCTTTACTTACCTGACCTACCTTCAATTACAACAAACAAACATCATGGATTTCGTCAACAAGCTCGCTGGCGGCGGTAACAACCAAGGCCAGTCCGTCAACGAGCAGGTCGTCCAAGGCCAAGGCTCTGAGCAGAAGTCCTCCGGCTCCGGTGGCTTCCTCGGTGGCATCGGTGACAAGCTCAACTCCGCTGCTGGCGGCGGCAAGGAGAGCGAGAAGAACGAGGACTACCTCGACAAGGGTATGTTGTCCTCCACCCTTACCCACGTCTACCATGCCGTGCTACAACTGTTTGACACGTACTAACTGTTTATACTAGGTGTCGACTTCGTCCAAGAGAAGTTCATGGGCCAGGGTGCTCAGGACAACGAGTCCGCCGTCGAGCAAGCCAAGGACGAACAGATCAGCGACTTCATCCGTGGCCAGTACAAGTCTACCACTGGCTCCGATATGCCCATCAAGGACAAGGAGACTCGTCTCGGTTAAGCTGTTGAGCTAGGACAAGGCGTGATGGTGGGTATACCATGAGCCGGGAGGACAGGAGATCCGCTGGCCATTGACTACGATCACAACGATATGGATATGATAGTCATGAAATGAAACAATGACAATACACCACAAGCAAGAAAGTGATATAATCTTGTCGACGGTGACGTGATTCGTTTGCGCGATTTGAACATTTCGGCAAGACCCCAATTGACGACGCAGCGATGCGTTGTTGATACACACAAATCTACTACCCGTATGCACCGTCATTAAACGCCTGATATTTCCACCTTTTCCCATGAACGATGGCCCGTCGCATCTCCATATAATACAACACATGCATATCTTACAGCTGCTCGATACCCTCAACAAGTCGATCAAGACTTGCTTCCGATCCCTCAGTCAACAGACCCTTCATCATGCGCGACCTGCTTAATGTTAGCACTCATTCTCAGCATCCTCTGCCTAAGATACGACTTACAAGTTCCCCAGTTTGCAAGCCCCCATGCTCTCCTCAAGCTCCGCACTCTTGACCTCCGCCACATCAATGACCTTCTCCGGTACCCTCGCCAACCGCGCAACGTTCAGCCCGTAAGACCGGTGGCTAATACCCTCCGTAGCTTCATACAAGAACACAACTTCCTTCCCGCCATTCTGCTCTTCAAAGCGCATGTGGACGTTCTTCAGCTCACCGTTGGGGAAGCGGCCTGACAGTTTGGCCAGATGCTGGTAATGTGTGATGAACAGCGTGAGTGACTGCAAGTCGCGGATAACATAGTCGAGCACTGCTTCTGCGATGGCGACACCGTCAAAGGTTGACGTACCGCGACCGAGCTCATCGAGGATGATGAGGGAACGGGGCGTTGCGGATTTGAGGATATCGGACGTTTCGTTCAGTTCGACCATGAATGTCGATTCGCCTTTGAGCATATTATCGAATGCGCCCATGCGCGTGAAGACGGCGTCTAGCATGCCGAGTCGCGCTTCGTTCGCCGGGACGTATGAACCTATTTGGCCCATGATGGCGATTAGAGCTGCAGATCGCACATAAGAGGATTTTCCGCCCATGTTGGGGCCTGTGATCAGTAGAGCACGGGTAGAATCGTGTGAAAGGGTGAGGTCGTTGGGGACGTAGTTTTCGAGGAGCAGTTGCTCAACCATAGGATGCCGACCACCGTTGATGTTGAGCTCAATATCGTCTGTGAAGGTCGGTTTGACGTAACCTGGCTGGTTTGCCAAGGTAGCCAGGGAGAGGAGGGCGTCGAGTGTGGCTAGAGAAGCTACACAGTCCCGCAGTTGTTGATACTTGGACGAGATCTCCTCTAGCAAGCCCATGTAAGCTTTGTCGCATGCCGCTGCCAGCGACTCCTTGTACTGATCTCGCTCTTGTAGCATGCGCTTGACTTCTGGCGTGTGGAAACGTAGTGTAGTCTTGGTAGCTGAGATCTGCTGCCACGAGGCAGGTACTTTCTTCTCTTCGGGTGCCTTCCTCTTGACCTCGATCAAGTACTCAATGCCAGCTACAGTGACGAAGTCTACTTTGCTCTTCCCCAGCTTGGCAGCTGCATCTTTTCGGTGCGTGTTGAGGTCGTCTTCAACAGAGGCAATGCTCAATTTCAGATCGTTGATATCTTCGGCCTCATGTTCTTCACGGAAGAACGAGTACTTGTCGTCATCTTTTGCGGCTTTGGCGTTGATCCTCTCCAGGAAGCTGTTCAAGTCATCGTAGATCTTCGGAACATTCGAAACAGCTTCACTCAGTAACGACGAGGAGAATCCACTCTTTTCGGGTGTCTTCGCCGACAAGTACTGGCTCGAGATCTCCTGCAGACTTTGCAAAGCTGCCAACAGTTCTGGCCTTGTACACTTCTTGTAGTAGATGCGAATGAGCACCTTTTCGAGATCTGTCCTGATCTTTCCGAGCACGAACTTGAGCTTATCGACAGGGATCGTGTTCTCGCCCTCCTTGAGCTCTTCCACCGCTGCTATGCGCTCTTCTAATCTCTCCTTGTCTATGAGGGGTCGGCCAACCCACTTTCTCAGCAACCGTTGCCCAAAACGGGTCTTTGTTCTGTTCATGGTCCAAAACAAGCTGCCCTTCGAAGTGTAGTCCGTTTGGTTCTGGTAGATTTCCAAACTAGAGAGTGTGTTTCCGTTCAGCAGCATGTAGGACCTGGCACTGAAAGGCTGGAAGTACTTTGTGAGATCGAAGACGTGTTCCAGGCCATACTCGCTGAGATACGTGATCATTGCTGAGAGGCAGATGGTTACATGCTCCGACAACTGATGTACCTTGTCCAGAATAGCGCCCTGCTTTTCCGAGTCTGCTTCCTGGCTGGACTTCATCTTGCCCGCGTA